TTTTATTTTCTTCTTTTTTTTTACTTATTTTTTTTTGGGGTTTTTTTATACTTACCATAAAGATAACGATGTGTACTATCTAAAACAGAAATAAAAAATGTCGGTTAACATAAAAAAAAAATGACGCCATTACTTGAAAACGAATGACGTTATAAATGTCACGTTAAAAAATACATTTTGTATTACTTTTGGTTCAGTCTATATTATAATTTTATGCGTTATTATTTCTAAAGAAAATTTTAAAGTAGGGCTTAGAATATTCAAAGTAGGGCTCAGCCCTACTTGCCCCCCCACTGCATTTTTGGTCCTTTTCTCCCTACAACAACTTCCTCAGAAATGTTTAGAAATGAATTTCGACTTGGATTTATTTTGAAATTATTAATACAAATGAATCTGCAACTTAATTATGATAAATGCAATTAAAAATCAACTAAATATTGTTATCAATAAGAAAAAAATTCATGTGTCCGATTCAGTCAAAAACTTAGGAGTCAATAGATGATGATCTTCGTTTTAACTATCATGTTATTGTGGTCCTAGAAAATCTTGATCTCACATTTTATTTAATTTTAAATTTTGTAAAAAATGGCAGAAAGTTTAGTGTTATCATTTATGAAATATTGTTTAATCTCTCTACTTTTTCAATCTAATTTTGCAAACTCTCAAAGAATACTTGTTTTCGTGTTTTTAATTGTTAATTTGATATTAATTAAACATTATATATTTTGTTTAGTTTCAAGGTTTTGCTTTTTAACTTTTCTATTTTTAATATATCCAGTTTTCCACTTTTTATTATTCTGCCTGTACTGTTTTCTTCTTTTCTTTATTTTAATTTTTGTTATTTTTTTCGGCTAAACTTGGCCCTGTAGAATTATTGGTATTTTTTTTTCTTTCTCAATAAAGGTCTATTATTTTTATTATACAGGGTGCGCCAGAACTCGCGCGCCAGAGAAAAATTTCTAGTAAGATAAAATCCCAGGAACATGGAAGAAATGTTTAAAAACTTCTATCTGTCAAAAAATTTTGACATTTATTTTTTGACATTTGACATTTTTTTATGTCTATATCTGACAATCTTGTATATGTTTTTTTTATAATTATTTAGTAAAGGTACAAGAACTTTGCCAATGAAAGTCACAAATAACATTAAACAGTTACAATTTAGGATACAGCTTCCTTGTTATTCTCTTCTAACGGCCTGTAGCAAAAAACTTGGAAAATTATTTTTCTAACAGAAATAAATAGTCAAAGTGCAAAATTTAAATCTTCGACATTTTTATAAGGTACAATTTTTTTAACATTTTTTCCATGTTTCTGGTATCTTACTTAACATGGCATTGACATTTTTGTCTAGCGCACCCTGTATTTTGGCGAACGTAGTGAGGCATATAATTCAGCTGAACCACGTAAACGCACTTGTACTCCGAATAACATATACTATTTTATCTGTAAACGTATTCAGGTCGAGAGTAAAAAGCAACACTTAAATTAACAAGTAAATGAACAAAATAATCAGGACGCTTTGCAAGTAATGAAATCATAAACATTATGCGTCAGTATCGAAATTTTTGTTAAAATATTCGTGTTTATTAATTTAACTAGTACATGACTAGTGCAGTTAGTAGTGCAAAATAGTGATCTACAGTGTACCTCTCTAAAAATAGAAATTGCTGAAGCAGCGAAAGAGACAAGAAAAAGATAGCATTGATTAAAAGTAAAAACGCTTAGGCGCAAAAATAGAATTTTTACTCCATGGCAGAAAGGTAAAACATTTACTTCTGACATTCAGTCATAAAAGTGTCATTTTTGAGACATGTGCGGACAAAGTAATATAATTATAATAAATATTTTTCTAAAAAATATTTTAAATAAAAAATTGTACTTTTTAATGTGAAATATTTATACTTGGCAATATTAGATAATCTTTTAATTTTCTTCTCATAATGTAATTAATGAAATAATTGTCATTTTTTCAAAAATATTTTTTTTATTTTAAT